CAGTTTTAACTTCCTTTAGCTTTTGAAGTTGATTCTTGACCTGTGACTGTGAGTTTTTAATTTTCTGATGATTTTTATTGATTTTCTTTTCGTAATTTGTTTATTCTTTTGAATGTATCTTGTTTTTCCTGGACCTCTATACAAAACCATAGGGGTACTGAGGGAGATATTTTAAGCTTTTGCTTCTCCCTCAAATAGAAATGGTTTTGTTTTTAATGGCTACCGGGGCCGGTACCCCCTGAAGACGTCGGCTTCGGTGGTCGTATTTTTGTTTTATTTCATTTGTTTTGTACCAACAAAGTGAATTTACTGTTATGTTTTCTTAATTATGTTTTTTACATTTAAATATAAGATATTTTTATATCTGTATTATAGGTATTTTTGTATTGATTCTATTTTTGTAGTCATTTTCTTTTTCTTTTTTTTCTTTCAGAGCAAAGCTAAAACAGGCTTATCAGTTTTGCCAGAAGGTCAAATTGGAAAACTGCAAGTGCTGAAATCAGGACGCACAAGATTACTAATCGGAGAAAATAGTTTCTATTTAGACTTTTCTAATTCCGTAAAAAGCAAAAATGAGGTTGTATCCATACAATTAAATGAAAGTGATAAGGATATCATAGTCCTTGGGGATATAGATCATAAAGCAACTGTCGTACCCGACGTAGATAAACTTTTAGAATCTATAAGATAGTCCTGTTTTTAATTAAATGTTGGCCTTATTAATTGATGAAAATTTTAGTAGATAAAGATTTTAATGCAACATATTATTGTTGTAGTATGTAATTTAAAAAATTCTACTCTTTAAATAAATTTCCTAATTTAAGAAAGAAATCTTTAAAATAAAAATACTTGCTATTTCGTTGTACTTTTTATAAAACTTGTATAAAATTTTATATTTTTTTAACAAAGACCTCTTTTAAAATGTATTTTAGAAAATCATAATTATCATAAATCAAAATTATCATAATCTGTTTTCCAGACTTAAGACTTTTTTCAATTCATTTACATCGATGACATCGTCATTTTGTATTCAAAGCCCTACAACCATTATTTTATTTATTTCTAAATAAGTAACTATTCATTTATTATTTTAATAATATATGATTTTATTCAAAATCAATTTTAAATTTAAATTCATCCTCAAAATTTTGGATTTTTAACTTTTTATTTATTTTGACATCTTCACCATTTTATTAAGGCCATTAATATAACTGTTAATTAACAGCACTACATTATGCATACATAGACAGGGTTTAATATTAATGATTACACATTAATATAGTTCAAGTTTCTCAATGATCTAAAAATTAATCATTCTCATTTATTTTTTATTGTAAATAAAAATAAAAAAAAACTTTTTATACACATGTTTGTTACATTAATATTTTTCTTGAAATAATTCATTGAATGATTCTTCATTTGAATAAGCTAGAAGGTCTTATTATAAAAAAGATGTTCTTTGTATATTCTTTTTTCTTCTTCATGTAAATAAAGATGAATTTTTTAAAGTAATGCCTGTTTATCCTTGTTCGGTCAAATTGACAAAATAGTAGAAAGTTGGTGTTTATAAAGTTTGAAATTATAATTATTATATATCCTTGAATTCAAATCTTTTACACTAATCAATAAAATTATGGTAAGAAAAAATCTTTTGGATTCTATTAAGGACAACATCAACTAGCGCTTAAACACGACTCTCCTGGTCAAGATGAAACCCCATGAATAATGGAATCAAAACAATGTTTCCATCATTCACATGTTTTTATCTTGACAAGGAGTCTCATGTTAGAATGCTCAAGACATTTTTACTTTCCCCATTTCAAATGAAATTTCGACCACTTCCAACTAGCTAGAGCTCGTAAATCTTTAATGAAGCTCTGTGCTTCGAGACAAAGCAAATGGCAATCGTTTCCTGCCAGCTGAAAGCAAATTTATTGCAGAAGGTATTTATTGTTAGTGTAAGTTTTGTCCACTTTCTGAATAATTAGAGTATTTAATTTTAAACTTGAATTCAGCGCTAGACGGCAAAGTTTCAATCGTTTCTTGATTCCCATACAATTAGAATTTGTATCGTCAGTGAGAATTTACAGTCAATCAAAATTTCAACGACCTTTCAACTGGCTAGAATTCTCAAATTTCATCTTAATCTCTGAGCCTATGCAAGCTATAACTATTTAGTAAATGGTGCAAACAAAATTTATTGGAAATTAAAAAAAATATGTTATCACTTTCTGACATAACTAAATCATAAAACTAATTTCTATGTGTAATAAAAAGTTTTAGAAACTAAGTTTTCTAAATTTAAAATAATTCGTTTAAAAAGGGAAAAGAAATTTTTGTCAGACCGAAAACGAAAAACATGAACTATCTATCACACCTGTCAAAAATAAAATTACTTCAATCTTTATCTATTTGAAAAACATAGTTTATGAAATTTTTATTTTATTGTATATCCTCTGTGCTAGGATAACAATTACTTATATTTTAATTGAAATAATTATCAAAATAAAACAGGGTTCGTAGTTGTCCTGATTTTCTTGAAACAAAATATTTTGTCTGGAATTTTATATATGTTCAGAACATCCCAATATTCACAACAACCTAAAAAAAAGAACAATTCCGAACAACAAATACAAGTGTGGGTTCTAAAATAGTAGATTTTAAGAATGAAAGATTTAAATGTAAATTTTTTTTAAAAATGCTAGTAAAAATCGCAAAATTCGATTGTTCTTTTTGTTACAGACTTTTGGTAATTTTATAATAAAGAAACTCAGTATTTTTGCTGTCGATATCTTTTTTTTTAATACGAGTGTGTTCGATTGCTAATTAATAAGTGGTGGTTGTTGTAGTAGGCCATAGTTCTTGTTTTCCAGTGGCGCCATCTATGGCCAAGAATTCGACTTCTGTCACGCCCATTCATAGGACAGACCCATTCATTCATCCATAGATCGTAAACGATCAATCTCCAATTCAGTACCCCCAGAATTATAATTAATTATGGAAACACGGAGGACTTTGTGACTCGACAGAATTGAACTTGCACCAGCCGAACTTGAAATACCGGCTGGATTCGAACTCCCGTTCTCACATACGTGAGTCCAGTGCCTTGCCAACCTCGCTATCCGGCCCAATAGGAAAGTGATGTTAAAAATAAACTTATTTAGATTGTCCGTCACATTCGTTCACAAAAAAAACGTTGTTCATCAGTTCTTTTTGTTTTTATTCTTTCATTTCCTTTATAATTTTTTTTTTATTTGATTTATTGCAAAATCAAAAGTATTTTTGAATGTCCATTATCTTTAAGTAATGGTTTAGTTTTAATTTTTATATTGATGATCTTTGTTTCAAGATTGCAATATATTACGTTTGTTTATTTTTGCATACATTTATTTTTTAGTATATAAATTCTATATGATTTAGCTTTAAATTTTTTTTATTGTCGCATGAAAATATGTATAACTATCTTTTTTTTTTTTAAAAAAAAAAACTTATTTTAATCTATATTTATAAAGAAGAATCTATTTCCGAAGTTAAGAAAATTCAGGTTTAGAAATTTCTCTCTATATGCACGAAATTGCGACATTTCTTTTTTTTCGTATATTTATTTTTGATCACCTTGTACTATCTTAATTTTTTTATTTAAAAACGTTGTGTCTTTATTTTAATTTACCTTTTTTTAGGTTACGTACTATTAAAGAAATTTGCCTCACAGTTCAAAATTTTTTAAAGCTGTGAATTACAATTTTTTTTAGCTTTTCCCCTTCTTAAAAATAGCCTGGTATTTGGATTGAACCAAAAAAAAATTTCCTGATTTTCTTTTGATTTTTTTCTTTCTATAAAGTGTTGCCTTGATATTTATTTTGAACCACTACGAAACCTGTAAAAATCTAAAGGTAAAATTTTAAAAATATTTCAATATGTATGAACTGAATGTAATATAAACAATAACAAGCTTCCTAAAACCGGAAGAAATTTAGTAAACTTTCGGTGTATCCTTCCGCTTATGTTATACTTGGCGATGTGTGAACAGGCTCAATATTCTAGGAAGTTTTTGAAATGTGATTTGTATTTCAATTTACGCGTAGTTTTACCATTCATAAGAGTTTTCTGTAAATTAAAAATTCTAACAGGTCATGAGCCTGAAACAAATTTAACAAAATTAATATCACATCATAAATAAAGTGTAAGGTTTGCCATGTTTTGAGTGTTATCTTTTATTTGGCTATATTTGTCAAAATAACACCGCTTGTAATCTTTAGGGTGGCATCCTGGCAAGCTTGCAGAGTCTTCCGAATTTATTTGTTGTTTATTTCGTTGAAGGTTAAGATTGAGAGAGAGCGTTACATTGAAAACACTACAAGTATAATAATATTGGATGATGCGTATTTTTCAAGTTTGGGCCTAAAAATCAGACGATAAAGTCTTACTACGAATTTTAACCACTAGCGCCATCTGTGCTTAGCTTTACACAGTCAATTGGGTATAATATGAAAAAAACA